CTCCAGAATAACATAGCTGAAGTTAAAGAACTCCATTCTGAATTAATGTGGAAGGACTTTATAGACCACATCAGTAAATTATTGCACAGCGTGGAGGTGGAAGTTAGCTACTTTGCTGCGGGGATTATTGCTCATTTGATTTCTCGAGGAGAGCAGGCCTGGACATTAAGTCGCAGCCAGAGGACATCTCTCCTTGAACAGCTGGTACAGAAATGATGGTGAATTTTTATCATATTCTTTCATATTTTTTCAATGTTTGTATTTAACAATGAGTGTTCTTGGTTCTGTATTTTGCAGCATTCTGCCATTTTGAATTGGCCAACCCCAGAATGTGAGATGGTGGCTTACAGGTAACTATTGTCTTGGTTCAGAGTTTGGAAGATGAACTGGACTAGATATAAAACTTGTTCCAAAGGAGAGTGAGTTGCTAGCCAGACATAGTTTTGTCCAGTGGGAAAACACCTTTCAACTTAAAATATACAGCACATTAATTTTCCCTTTGTGACCAGAGAAGATGTGGGACTCTTGTAAAAGAAAAATGTAATGTTGTTCTGCCTGCTTTTCTGTTAAAGTATTCAGCTGCTCATCTGAAGACTTGGACACAAAGATTAACCCAGCAAGGTTATACTGGTTAGCACTAGGTTAACACTATCTGTCCCAGATAAAGCAGCTTGAGGCCAAAAAGTACAATTAGATAATTACTGTCCATCTAATCCATAATTATAATTTCCACTGGTTTTACACCTGTTTTTCAGGAGCAGGAGGCATAGAAATGCTATGGTAAAAGCATACCATATATCCAGTATATATGATTTTTGTTAGTAATTGTCTTAAACATTAAGACATAAGATGTTGCATGTAAAACTCTAGTTTATCAAGTGTCTCTTCTAGTTAAACCTGTAGCTGAATGACTAGACAACATGTGACCTCTGAAGTAAAATTATCTAGTAATTGCTGTTGCAAGTTTCTGTTTCTCTCCTTTTTTTATAGGTCTTTCAATCCATTTTTTCCACTACTTGGCTGTTTCATGACACCTGGTGTCCAGTTATGGGCAGTGTGGGCCATGCAGCATGTCTGCAGCAAAAATCGTACGTATTAAGATAATATTACCCTTAAAATTCTTATTTCTTAGCTTATTATTCACTAGCATGCAGTGGGAAAAATAAGAATTCCTAGGGTATTCACTCCTAATCCTCTGCAGAAACTACATTTAGGCTTTGACTAAATGGAGCAGGAAAAGAGAGTAATAAAAGTTCTTTATATTCTTTTTATTTACTGGAATTTTACTGTTAAATGCACAGTATTAATTCCGAGGTGTGGACATGTGTTAAGATTAACTACGTTTTTGGCTTGCACAGGTGTTTTTATTCAGAAATGTGAATATTAATAATGGGCAACAAATTTGTTTTAAATTAAGAACGATGGTAGCAGGTAGCTATCTCTAGCTGTCAGAACAGAAGTTTTAGGTAATCCTCTCTCTAATAGCCTTTTTGCAATAACTTGATGTGACATGAAGGTCAGTTTCTTAATCTGTCTTTCCCACCTGCAAAATGAGAACACCAATGTCTTGTTTGTAAAATGATTTGAGAGCATGTGATGAAATGCACAAGTGTTGAGAAAGGAAATAAATCCCCTGAGCCTACCTAAATGTAAGACAAACCTTTCTGGCTTTTAATGCTTGCTTTTTTTTTTTTCCTTTTTTTTTTTAACATAAATTTATATGACATGAATGTGTGTATTGTCATTAACTTCTACCAGATACAAAGCAGCTTTCTTCTAAAGTATTAGAAGTATTTTCTGTGCCAGTTTTCTAATCTTCTTGCCAGCAGTATATCTCTGCTTGTTTATCCCTCTCTCATAAATCACTATTTGTAGAATGAAAAGACCAAACAAGAACATAGCATAATATATAATTGCAAGTAAAGTACTGTTTTCCTGCTCTTTATAAAGCTCATAACTGTAACAAGACAATGTTCCCAGGATATTCTGTTCAGAGATCTGTGAGGACTTGTCCCATGTTGGAGTAGGACTGTTCTGACAAAGTTGTTTTACTGGTCAGACTCTGTTTGATTAAGACCTTGTAATTCTGTGTTAATGAAATTTAAGCAAGCTTTCTCCCCCTTTGTGTCTCAGCCCTGTTAATTTAGTATGGTCCTATTTGTTCTGTTTATTTTTAGTGTTTATGTTGTGCTGCCCTAACCTCTGGGCTTTCAACATGCCATCACACTTGGATGGCGTACACCTGCTTTGAGATCAAGACAGTATTCCTGAAGTTTAGTTCTGATGGTAATTGATGCCAGAAGCTTCTAGACAAAGTTGCAGAGAAATCAAATGTTTGGTAGCAAATGTAATAGCCTACTCTGAGGGAAAATGTGTTTAATTCTGAAATACGAAGATTTATTTGGGGGGAAGATCTTAAGATTTTGGTTCTTGGCACCAAGGCAGCTTTTTGTCCCAGAGAGGAGATCTGTTTTATTTTGACCTCCTCTTTTAGATGAAGGTGAAAATTGTAGTCTGGAATTAATGGAATTAATTTTTCTCCTTTGGTATTTTTCTCGTTTTGCTGTTTCTCCGTATCATATCGATCTCAATGAGCTGACTTAACTAAAATACTAGTAGCATTGCAGTAATCCCCAGTGAAATGCTTAATGTCAACGTTTAAACAACTCTGGTGTTGCTTCACTGAGATGCGTAGTGAAGTTGGGCACATCTGAGGTAATGCTCTGTGCATTGCATTACAGTCATCCTGACCTTTTGTAACAACTTCTGAAGCTTGCATGTCACATTAAACACGTGGCTCTTTTTATAGCTGGACCCTGCATGTAATAACACTGGGGCAGGTGTAGATACGCTTTCGACTTTTTAAAGTTGATAATGAAAGTGGAAAGAAAAGTATAATTTTATCCCTGAAAAGGCATTCAAAGCAACTTATAACTAGTTAAAGACCACCATCAATAGTATTTGGCAAACTGTTTTCAAATGAACTAGTTGCTATTCACTTTACAAGCCTGTACAAATGATGTGGTATATCTGACACCATTTTTTGGTAACTCTTCCGTACTAGGGTTTTTGGTAAAAGCGATGTTCTTAACTGGGCACTTATAGGTACTATAGTACTTCTCATTCCCGTTTCTTAAAATTTATATGTGTGCACTTAAAATGGCTGTAGAGAGAGAGAATATTGTGCATTTTACAAGGCATTTCCCAGTCAGCTCAGACAGACATGGAAAAAGACTTGATTACAGTCAGAGTCCTATCCAAACAACTCTGTTGTTCTGTTGTCACTTGTTAAATGCATTTCTGTAGACACTTTAAGGAGTGTCCTAAATGCTGCCTGGTGTAGGAGAGGAAAGTGGATTTGAATCCTGTTTACAGCATCTGCTACGTTTACCCTAGATACATTTTATTTACTTATTTATTTTTAATTCTCTTTTTTCAATCTTATTACAGCTGCCAGGTACTGCAGCATGTTAATTGAAGAAGGTGGTTTACAGCACTTATACAACATCAAGGAAAACGTCCAGACTGATCCACACGTCCAAAGGATTGCTATAGCCATCCTAGATAGTCTGGAAAAACACATTATGCGTCATGGGAGACCACCTCCATGTAGAAAACAGCAACAAAATAAACCAAACTGAAAGCTGCAGGTATAGGAGTGTTAAGTGTTGTCTCTGTAATAATCCTTTCTGGTGTGTGTGTAGTTGGAGAAACTTGTAATATAGTGGTCACCATTAAAGTGATTTACCGGTAATTGTGGTCCCCAGAACCATGTACGGTAACCTTTTGTGAATGTCAACTTTAATGGCAGCCGCCTATGCGACTTGTAAAGGGTCACTGCTTGAGCTGGTCACACCTGTGGGATTACTGCTGGCTACAGAGAGAGGGGACTTGCACAGATCAGGATGCACATCTGAAAAGAAGTCTTCTAGGAATATCTTGTTCTGTGACCCCTTGGACAGAAAGTTATTTCATCCCCGTGATTGCTGTTCATAACACTCTTTACCAGTTTGGTGTTTGACTAGAACTGTGTGTGGTTGTGAGATTCAGCACTATTACAGATTAAAACAAAAGTACATGCATGCAGGTGACAATGAGACTTGTAACTATGGCGACCAAAATGTCCATTGTCTCATAACCTTTCTAAACACAAATGGGGTCTTCAACTTCTTTTTCCTTTTGCCTGCAAGCTGTGTTCTTTTGTTTTCCTTACTGCTAGAACAATGCCTTTTTGAAGTTCAGCTCTCCTGAGTCCTACCTACTCTTAGTAAGGTGGGGATCGGCATTGCATCAGGGAAAGGGGAAACCTGCTAAAGTAAAGCAATAGAAACAGGATTAAAAGGAGACGCAATATGAAAAGTGAGATTTTAAACTTGGTAACAAGAAGGGGTTTTCGTTGTTGTTTGACTACTTTTGGTTGTGTTTGCTATCTTCCTTTAGTTTTTAGAACACTGGTAGGGAAAGAAGGCTCATTAGAGCAAAACACTGACTTGTCTTCATCATGAAGGGGATTGCATGTCTTGATAGGACGCCCAGGATATTTGGTCACCTTATTTATAAGAGACTAATGATTGCTCTGTTGTTTTCTGTAAATATTCTGTCAGTATTGTGCAGTGAATTATATTTCCAAATCATCACGATGCAAAATACCATCCAATGTTCTATGTAAGCCCTGTGTCAATTGCATTGTTTTGTGGAGTGTGAAATTTTACATAAAGATGCTAATTGTAACAACTTCTTTCTTTCCTGGTTACCTATGGGTTTCAAATGATGTGTTGAATGAAACATATTGCACGGCATACAGATGCCTGATAAAATACAAGTGATGGAAGGCAAACTGCATGTCCATTCAGATTCAGTTTAATTTCAGGTATTGTTTTTGTTTATCTGGTTAGTTGCCGTATTTCCATGGCAACTGACTGATATTCAGAGACTTCTGTAAATATATTGGTAATTGAGTTTAAAAAGAAAACTCATGTTTGGTAGCTTACTAGCAGGGATGGCTTCTTCATGATGACCGTATTTTACTATTTTTAACTCCTTCCCTCCCCCAACTCCCATCCTTCAAATAAAAACATCACGTCTAATCTTCAATAATCTAGTTATTGTGTATTTCAGCAACTTCAAAAGGTACTGATCCAGTAAGTTAATCAATGTCGTGTAATTGCTTTTTGTACGAAGGTATCATTTGGCTAGCATCATTCTCATGCATGTATCTGGTTAGATAAAGTTTACTTGATTCGGAAGGAAATTAAATGGTTGTAGCTTTGAATTATGAAGGTGGTTTAAAAAATGAAAATTGGCGTGCAAGCCTTTACCCACCATCCTTCTGAGATATCTGCGATGGGACTTTCTGCTACAAAATTTCTGTTACATGAAATGGAACACAAAACTTGTCAAAATTTATGTTAATAGAATGAATATAAATCAGTTGCTACAGATTTTAAAATAAAGATGACAACTCTCCTTACAGTACTGTTTTTTCCTACTAATCGGACAACTCGCTGAAGTATCTTAATTAAAACTGTGGGGGAAAAAAATAAATCTACTACCTACACGCAGCACAAAATTAATGTGATACTGGCATTGGTCCGGATGGTGAAGATGTCACTCCATGAAGTTCTGCAACCAGCAAGTACAGAGATTGTAAATTATTTTCCATACCCTTCTTGTTTTGTTCCCACATGCTTCAGGCAAACAAACAGTGAGCGGAATTCTTTTAAGCTGAAAGGTGTGAAAGCCTACAAGGTATAAATCCACTAAATTTACTTGCATGTGCCATTTACAGAAAGGTCTCTTCACATTCCTGTGCAGCTTCAGGCGTTCCTACCAGGGTAGAATAATTCCGGAAGCAACTTTTAAACTCTTGTATTTCACCTGTGGCACATGACACCTTTTTTGTGAAGGCTGAAGATCATGACTCAGCTTTACCTTTGCAGATCTTTACGCAGGAACCTTCTACGTGTATAATCTGGTAACGTTACCTCACCCGCAGAATTGTTCGGTTAACTTTTGGCACAAGTGAGATTGTGGTGTGCTTCAAGACTGTCATAGCATGAAGTGACACACAGTTCCAATGTCCTAAGCCACATTTTGTAAGTGTATTTTCATAACCTGTAAAGTATTTACTAAAAATTGGTTTCTCAAACTATACTAATTAACTTTTTTTTTTTAAAGCCCCAGTCTAGGGAAGTAAGAAGCCGTAGACAGAATTTGTGTGGCACAGCTCCATGCTGGAGAGCCTTTAAGCAGAGGGAGCAAATAACTTCCAGTCAGACAACAGAGCAAAATAAGTGATGGCAGAGAGGTGACATGCTTGAGATGTCTGGCATAGACTGATATGGCCATATATATGTACACATACAAGCCTCACGTTTTCTCAAATGCTGATAACAGAGAGACGCAAGGTCAGTTGGCTGGTGTGGTAACTCAGTGTTTGCACTCTTCACAGCAGATCTGGGGTGAAATACCATTGCTTTGTTAATGCTGCTTGTTCTGTCTGGTAATAAGAAGCAAGCTTAGGAACGTTTTTCTTCTTCGTAAGTTGACTTTCTTTTCAGAGTGATTTTTTTTCTTCCTTTTTCTTTTTCCTGTCAATGTTTAGATGCAGTATGTTTTCTGCTTTTTATATTTAATTTTTTTTAATACTTGCTTATGGTGAACCAAAGCTTGTCCATACTCCTTACTTGACATCTATTTGAGCCATAACCACTGACTTAAGATGTATGCCTTTTAAAAAGATAGCTGTAAAAAGTTAAATCTTTATTTGGGAATTCTAACAACAAAAATAGTCCAGTGGAGTATTCAGAAATGCAGTCCCAGGCAAGGCGGTAAGTACACAGAACGCAGTCATAAAAATAATCCCAAGAAATCAGTGGGTCTTCTTCAGTCCTCCTTTACCTTTGGAAAATCAATGGGAAGCTAGGAAGCATTATTTGCCAGTGAACTGAGGTGGTCGTTTCTCCCTGAAGGCAGCCATGCCTTCCTGACGGTCTCTTGTGGGAATATTCTACATTAAAAAAAAAAAGTGGTATATTTTTCATTGACAAGTCTGATTTGTATTTAAGTACTGACTAATTTGGCAGTAGTGGTCTAAGACTAAGATTGCTTTTTTTTCAGTGATACGTTAAGTTCCACCTTCCATGAAAGAGAGTGGTTTGTAGTGTAAACCATAGGCAAAGCATCTGAGACAAAGACCATAGAACTATAGTTTTCCATATATTTAATACTTTACCATCTCAAAATACACTGAGAGGCACAGCAGTTACATTGTTCCATTAGCTGAGAAAGGTGCACGCTCTCAAAACTTGTCAGAAAGAATGACTACAGACGGATTTGGGTTTTTAACTTGTTAAACCTAAAACCATTCATAAAGCTCATCCTGTAATTAACGTATTGTTGAAAGTAAGAATATACAATTCCTTTAGACAAAGAGTATTTAAGGAAGGACTCTGGTCTCAGGCAGGCTGAGAGAGGCAGCTATGCGTGACACAACAGTTAATATTCTGAAACAGAAATTTGGAACTGCACTCAAGTATGTTCTGAAATCTTTAGATTTAGCTGTTAGTGTTCCCTTATAGAGAGGAAAATACAGGAGGACACTGTGAATGTCTGGCTTCAGAAAGTGTACAGTTGTTCTTTTGAGGAATGTATTCTGAAGGTAACCTACCTGGGCATAACACATCCCCTCAATAGCCATCCCTGATGCAATGTCAACCTGGGGATGAGAGGGAAGGAGTGAGATTTGTCACAAGTATAACCCTCAAAACCACTTCATAGCCCTCAAATCGATAAATATTCACTTGTAGCATTGAGCTTCACTCCTATATTAGAACTACAGTGCTATCATCTGCAGAACAAAATCCTACCACATGAATTTTATCTTTAAAGAAAGTGTGAAACTCCTGAAATGGTTTTAAATGCCTAAACCCCTGAAATGATTTTAAATGCCGTGTCTAAACAAGGATTATAACTTGTCTGTTCTAAATATTTTTGCTGTAGTAGTTTGTACAAGTTGCCTGTCTGCTTCATTTACCTCAGTATTTGAAAGAAAATATAAAATTATTACCTCCATTCCTCGGTTTATTGCCAGTTTTCCCATTTTCACAGCAAATGGAGCCTTTATTAAAAAAAAAACACACAAAACCCAAAACACAACAAACATTTTAAAATAATTGAAGCCACGAGAGTTCAGAATTGTGTAGTTGTTATATTATTATCCTATCTCCAAATGACCTTTCAGTCTACAGAAATTTGCAGTAAGTTAATAAGCATTTTTAAAAAATAATTTGTCGTTATCTACAGTTAATAGATGTACACAGTGCAACGTTACGGTGTGTCCTGCAGGTCTGCGTAACTGCAACTGGGACGTAAAACTGCCCTATGGGTTAAGCAGCTGGATGTTAACACTTGTTCCTACAGGAAATTGCGTTCACAAAAAAGGAGAGAGTTAAGAGACTTAAACACCAGGAACCAAGACTTCAATATTTCACAGAAAGGAATTTCAGCTGTTTGCCTGCTCTCTCCTAAGGGCAGCAGAAATGCCTTCTTTCCATTGACCACATGCATAACACACTTACCTGAGGAAGGATTTCTTTAGCCAAAGTTAACGCTCTCTGGTAAGCTGCATCTCCCTCGTTGTTTTGTGGCACTGTGTGATTTACTAATCCCATCGAGAAGGCTTGCTGTCCATCAATCTGCCTACCAGTGAAAATGAGTTCCTTTGCAAGACCTATTCCAACACATCTAGGCAGGCGCTGGGTTCCACCTTATGACAACAGCAAAAATACCATTTTCCATTTCTGAGAAACGCACAGAAAACCAGTAGTACTTCGTCTCCTTCTATAACAAGGAGGTTTGAAAAACGAAAGGATCATGTGTTCCATTAGTAA